TAGAGGGTGTTTGGCTAAGCTTATAAGTTGGTCAAACTAACTTATAAGTATATTTTGGCTTATCTACGCGTTTGGTAAACACCTAAAGTACTTATAAGCCAAAGAGTCCGTTGGCCAAGCTACCAAAAACTACTTATTTTAAAAAGCGCTTTTGTTCTAAAGTATTTTTTGAAAAAGTACTTTTGCAAAATAGCAGTTTGTGTTTGGACAATTCATTTGAATAGTGCTTTTTGCAAGCTCATTGTGTTTGGCCAATCTTTTAAAAAAGTACTTTTTAGTATCAAATTACGAAAAATGACTGTAAAAGTTTAATTTGCGATTAGTATTATTTATAAAAGAAAAATACATTTAAACATTTATTATAATAGAATTCAATTAAAATATAAAAGGTAAAGTAAAAATATAATTTAAAATTTTCAATCAATATAAAATATAGTTATTCCAAAGCAATAACATTGAGTGTTTGGTATTAGTTATTATTTACATGATAATTTAAATATGTCAAAATACATCATTCAATATAAATTTAAAATATACTCTTAGGAATAGGAGAAAGAGAATAAAAATATGATAAAAAAATGTATAGTAGAAATATAAAAAACAATGTTAAATCAATGAGGTATAGTTTTGAAAATATGAATTTATTCTAAGGTTATTTTTGTTTTGAATAATTAATTTTCTATTTCTGTTTCTACCTCTTGGTAGCTTCTTTCAAAAAATAAAAAAAAAAAAAAAGAAGCTTCTGCTGCTGTTCAAAAGTACTTTTTTTATTTTGGTCAAACACCTTAAATTTTCCAAAAAGTATTTTTTTGCCAAAAAAGTACTTTTGACCTATTAGAGGCTTGGTCAAACAAGCTCAACATCAGTCATAAGCCATAAGTTAGTCACCTCCAACTTATAACTTTTCAACTTGTAAGCATTTTTAATTTTACTAAGATTCTTACTATTTTATCCTTAATAATATTTTTTATTCACAAAATACATTTTCCAAAATAAAATTTCTAATTTTCTCTTCATTTTATATTAATTATTTCTTTTTTTCTTTACGAAAAAACTTTTTGATTTATAATATTTTATAAAACTTTAATGGTATTTTAGTCAATTTAATAAAAGAATAACTTATCAATATTAATTTTTTACTAAACACATCAACTGTTTATTATTATTTTCAGCACGTTTATCCAAACACATAATTGCCTATTTATAAATTCACTTTCATCACTTAAAAATATTTTTCAACACGTGAAGCTTATCAGCTATTTTTCAAACGAGCTCATAGTAAAGGTTAAAGTGGGCACGGCCAAAAATACAGGGGAGTTTTTCTATACTAAGTACCTTGTTTAGAAGAGCGGTATAAGGAGGTGCTTATTTTTCAAATAATAATAAAACTTATTTTGACAGTTATGGTGCTTGACCAAACCTATGAAAAATAAGTATTTTAAAGTAACAGCAGAAGCTTTGTTTTTCCATTGTAGGGAATAGCTGGAAAAACAGCTTTTCCTTTGAAGCATAAGCAGATGTTTATTTTAACTTTTTTAGGATAAAATATTCTTAATAAAAATTTATACTTATAAAATTATTCGTATAAGTTATTTAAACTTTATAACTTGATTAAAGTCTCAACTATTACATAATTAATCTGTTTAATTTTGAGACTTAAAATCAACTTTTCAAACAGTGATCAAACAAAATTGCTTCTTTAGTATTAACAAATGTGATTTTTAAATGATTTACCAGACGCAAGCTGCTAATCTTCCTAAGTAATGCAGAATTTAATACCAAAAATCAAATATTATATTACAAATTTTTATATAATTTATACGAAATTTAGCATTATTTACGTAAGATAGGATGTGAGATAAAAAAATTCGTGTATTAACAATAAGTGGATGAGAGTATCTAAACATGAAAATTCTCTTATATTAAACAATCGTTCCCTACATAATAATTTATGTGTATTTAGTGGGCGTTTGGACATAAGAATTGTAAAATTCCGAAAAAAAGTAAATTTTTTTTTCAAGTGAAAATGGTATTTGAAAATTAGAGTTATGTTTGGACATGAATATAATTTTGGGTCGTTTTTGAAGTTTTGTGAGTGATCTGAGTGAAAATTTTGAAAAACAGTTTTTTGGAGTTTTTCAAATTTTCGAAAAATTTCAAAATCTATCTTCAAGTGAAAATTCAAAAATTTATGGCCAACACTGAATTCGGAAAAAAATGAAAATTTTTGGAAAAAAATAAAATTTTTCTTATGTCCAAACGGACTCTTAGTTACTGCATAACAATCTCTACATTATTATTTATTGTATGATAATCTCTTTATTATTATCATTGCATACGGAGTTTTTGTACGATAATCTGCGTATATAGCTAGTCAGTAAAACAAACGACTTATACTGTTTATACGTTGGGTTTGTCTTAGAAAAAAAAATGAGATTAAACTGGAAAGAGAGAGACAGGACTGTATTACTAATCATCTGCACACTTTCTTTTTTGTGCATCATTATTTATAAATACTGATTATTTCAATGAGATAAACAATGAGACATCCACTCATATTCAATTACAATTGACATATACATACCTAGTAAACCCAAACTACAATACATACACAAATAGATAATGCATTAATTGATGACCTCACTTTTCCTAGTCAGAAGCGGAACAAAGATTTTAAGTTTATTGTTCGAGATTTTAATCGCCTTAGGGTATTGGATTCTAAATTAATAATTATACATATATAATAAATTTTTTAAAACAAATACAGAGTTTAAACCAAAGCTACTGGGTTCGACCGAACCCGTTCTCAGTACTCTAGCTCGGCCGCTGTTCCTAGTTCTTTTTGGTCTAATTCTACGCCACCTTTATCGAGTGACAAATAAAAATTATGCACACTACAACTTTGATAAAGGGTAAGATTGTCAGTTTGTCTGCGATGCTGGGATTGGAACTTGGATTAGTTGTAACCCAGGGATCATCCGAGTTTATATATTCAAATTTAACTTTCAAAGGTTGATTAGAACCGACAAACAAAACCCTTTTGCTACCTTCAACAAGTATTCCAATGTCTCCACAAAATGGTCTACATGTCTCACAAACTCCAGGACAATACACAAGTTTGTAAGCATCCTCGTACTTGTCAATTTTGAACCAATTGCTCAATGTTTCACGCCCTGGATTTCCTTCAACTCCACCAACCGTCACCAAATTACGTTGTGGAATTAATTCAGTGTTTATTCTCCATACTGTGGACAAATCGGATATTATCATAGCCGTATATTTGATGTTCAGATCAGTCGATGTTCTGATGTTATTTTCTTTCGGATTTACTGGTGAAAATTGAAGGTAAGTGCCGCTGGAATTTTGAGTATTTTGGCTTACAACGAGAAGATTGGTTGTGTTCCTAATGGATGCGACGTCAAGTCCACCGGAGTTGCCCCGGCCCGCCGGAACGATCAAATAATTCGCTCCTTTACGGACAGAGTTACCGGAAACGTCGAGTACCGGTTCAGAAACATTTTGAGCTTTTACGAGGAAGAAGAAGCTTGTTGACAATGCAAAAAGAAGAAAAGGTACCATGAATCGTCTAACGTTCACTTCCATTTTCATTGTGTTTGTATGGATTTATTTTCGTATTGTGTTACTTGTGAACGGATAGAATAGGCTAATTTATAGAACTGCGATAAGGTTTGAATAGAACTACTGGTTTGCAATAATAAGATGATACTAGCCAGGAGTAGTTTGCAAGATAGACGGAATTGACTATCAATTTCTAGTCATGCATTGCACGTCTTCGGTTTTACTCATTAAACAGCGAGAAAACAATTACAGTATATAATGGAAGTTTGACGGGATTTTATTTAAAAAAAAAATTATTCACAAATGGGCCAAGCAAGAGAAAAGGATGGAGGGATAGTCGGCGAAGTTTGATGGGATTTTTTCCCCTCTGGTCCGCGCCGTAAATTAAACTATTTATGTTTGGTAGCCGAAATTTTATATATAACACACAGAGTGTATATAAATATAAAAATATATATATATTTTCGGCTATTATTTTAAGAGCGGCTATACAGTGTTACTTTTTCAAGTTTGATAAGTCAAATTCTCTCGCCAAAAAATTATATATGCATGTAGGTATTGAAATATTATTTTACGTATAATATTAAAATCTAGAATATTCTTAACAAATTATCTGGCTTTACTCGTGAAAGAAGTACTATATATACTTCGCGGAAATAACATCAAATAGCATTCTAAAGGGCTGTTATTTAGGAATTAGTCATTGCATTTTGAATTTTAGTTTTTCAATTTAAATTTTCGGGACAATAACGTCTTGATTGTCTTGATTTAAAAAATTTTATTTTAAAATTTCAAAAAAAAAAAAAGTGTTAGGTTAATTTCTAAATAACATAGCTGAAAATAGCTATGTGTGCACTAGCCCCATATACTTCCTATGCATATACTATAGGATAAAGACTACTATAGGATAAAGACTTGGGATAAGATCTCTCTGACAAATCAAACGGTACATAATATGTTTATTTAGTACTCACATACAACGCAACTTTGATTAGATTAATAGAAAGATTGACTAGAGTACTAAGCAGTAAAATAGTATGATTAAGACAAAGAATCCAAGGTGTTAATGAAGCGGATGAGAACTATGAGGTCTTAGGTTTAAATTCTATATGGAGGAAAAAAATACTAGGTAATTTTTTCTCATCTATTCAAACCTTAGTGGGTAGAGTTACATGATACCTATTGCTGATGGAAGGTGACGGTAGCCCGTTAAATTAGTCGAGGTGCATGCAAGCTGGCCCGAATAACACATTTATAATTTAAAAAAATAATATGATTAAGACTGTAACGTTAACTTTATTTTTATAATAACTTGTGAACGAATAAAATAAACTTAACGAAGCAGAGCTATTTATGGAACTGGATGAAGATTTGCATATTACATTTGTTTGAAGTCTTCACTCCCTCATCATCAACCACACTAGTGATTACTTTAAAAACGTTTTCATAGCTTCTCAGCGACTGAAGTAGTATAAAAAATGACCTTAAAAGTTTTAATAATACTGACCTCTCTTCTCTCAACAACCCTATCACAAATTTTGAGATCATTAAAGCATGCTTTTCCTTTAAACCTTACAAAGCATCGGGGGTCTGATGGCTTTCATCCCTTTTTCTTTCAAAAATATTAGAATATAATAGGTGGTTCAGTGATTAGCCTCTACCAGGACGTTTTCAATAGTGGCAGAATACCGGATGACATTAATAATACTCTCCTATGTCTAATTCCCAAAATTTTAAATACTAATAACTTAAAAATTTTTAGGCCCATAGGTTTATGCAATACTATTAATAAAATCATTACTAAGGTTATTACGAATCGCTTGAAGCCTTTCCAAAACACCCTAATTAGCCCTTATCAAGCTAGTTTCCTAAAAAATAGAAAAGATTGTGATAACGCTATCATTATTCAAGAACTCATCCTCAAAATCTAGAAAAGGTTTTTAACCGACTTGAATGGTCCTTTGTTTATAGAGCCCTCACCTTTTTTAAATCCCCCCCAAATATCACAAAACTCATTATGAATTGTGTTTCATCCCGTACAATAGCTATTCTTGTTAATGGCTCTAGAACCGAGTACTTTACCCCTAGCAGAGGTATTACGCAGGATGACCCTATGCCTCCTTATTTATTTATTCTTTGTATGAAAATGCTTTCTACTCTCATCAACCACAAAGTGGACATTAGATGTTGGGATCCAATGATTATAGGTAATAATAATCACCAATTATCCCATCTTTTTTTCGCAAATGACCTTACCCTAATGGCTCAAATCAATAAAAACACTACCACTACCATTAAACAGTGCTTGAAATTATTTTGCTATCTGTCAGGGCAAACCATTAATAGGGCAAAATCTAAAATCATCATCTCTAAATATTCTTAAAAATACTGCCTCAAATCTCTCAAACTTCTTTAATATCAAATATTAGTCATTCCTTCGGTAAATACTTAGGTTTTCTGATTACTGACTCGAAACCTAGGGCCACAGACTATCAATTTGTTTTTGATAATATGCTTGCAAAATTGACTACATGAAAAACAAACTGCCTTAATATTACTGGCAGGTGCATACTGGCTACCTCATGCCTAAACTCCCTCCCAAACTACATTATGCAATACACAATACTGCCATCCAAGATCCTTAATAACATTGACAAAATTCAGCGAAATTTTATATGGGATACAAATGTCACTTTCAAAAAACTTCATCTAATTAACTGGGCCACCATCACCAAACATAAGAAGGAATGCGGGTTAGGGATCCATACTGCAAAGAGTAAAAACTTAGTGAATCGGCCAACTTATCTTGGAGACTTCTCACTAACACCTATTCCCCTTGGGCAAAAACGATTCTTGGGCTTCTTGGCACTAGAAAAAATATTAAAAACTCCTCTTTCATTTGGAGTAGCATTATCCAAGGATGGAAAATTTGTAACAAAGGTATTACTTGGTTCCCCCATAATTCATCGAACCTCAATGTCTGGAATAGTCGTTGGATTCATCATACTCCACCACTACGCCAAGCGGAGCGTAGATGTCAAGCAGTTATATGGATATATATACGTTCCCTTAACACTAAAAGACGATATTCTCACCATTAAGGATATCTGGATTAATAATTATTGGGATCTATCCAAATTATCCATGGACCTTCAACCAAATTTGATTAATAAAATCACTGCTATTACACCTAGCTCTAACAATTGTGACACCCTTATTTGGTCACTAAACACAAATGGGCTATTTAGTAGCAAATCCTGTTACAATCTAATTTCTAGTCACCCTCCCATGGTTAAGGACTTTACTTGAATTTGGGATCTAAACTGTCCTAACAAATTAAAGTACTTAGTATGAAAATGCTATCATGAGAGATTACCAACTAGAAGTTACTTAAACCACATTGGCATGAACATTGACCCTACTTGCACCTTTTGCGAGGAATATAGTGAAACTATTACTCAAATTTTCCTCTAATGCATAGCTGTTAAGGAACTTTGGCTTCTTTTAGGCTTAGATACAGGTAGATAGAATAACACTAGTAACTGGATTACTAATATCCGTGATCATAACTTTAATCTAAGAAACAGTATCATTAGTTGGAAAGAAATGTTTCCATTTGCTATATGGACCATTTGGGTTAATAGAAATAATAACTTGCATAATAACACTACCAACAAAGCCTACTTACAAAATGCTTATAAACAAGCAGTGGAATATAAATTCCTAACTGAAAAGAAATCTATCCCTCATCAAAGGATTCCCATCACAATTACTTGGCTTAAACCTCCTCGTAACTATATAAAGGTCAACATTGATGGCTCATTTAAGGAAAACACATCTCTCTGCGGTTTTGGTAGCCTCTTCAGGGACAGTATGGGCCATTGGATACCTGGGTTCCAAGGATCTCTACCTGGCTTGTCTCCCCTGCATGTTGAGTTGATGGCACTAAAAGCATATCTACACAGTGGCGAAGCTAGAAAATTCAACAAGGGTGTTCAAACCTTTGCTAGTGGGCTATGTAAGGGTGTTCAAAGTCTATTTTTAATCAATAACAAGTAATATTTTACCTTATACGGAGTATAATTTTTCGGCGAAGGGTGGTCAGTTGACCACCCTCGGTGGAACGTAGCTTCGCCCCTGGGCCTACACCAGCATTGAAGTGGAAACCGACTTAACAAATGTCATTACTTGTTTAGACCATAAAAACATTTAACAATACTATTCATGATTGCATGTTAATAATGATCCAGGTGAAGGTTCAAACAATCCAACACAACTTCAGGGAAGCCAACAAGCCAGCACACAAGCTGGCTAGAAGCGCTCTTCAAGACAACAATGGCAGAGATCTCAAGATTATGTACTATGCCCCTCCTTTTGTAACCACTGCATTAACTTCAGACTATGAAGGAACTACTTACCTAGTCAAAAATCTTAGTAAAAACGCCTGCACTAAGCTTGCATCTTTTGGAAATCAAAATGTCCTAAGAGACATTATAAAATCCTGTAATAGCCAAGTAGTAAATGTACAATCGGACACAACTTATGATGTAAACTCTATTTTGTAATTTCTATATATATAGATCCCTGCTTATCAAAAAAAAAAGTTTTCACTCCCTGAAAAACAAATTATTTTCAGATGGGATTGACTATCAACTTTAATTTTATCTGCTTAATAGAAAGATCAATAACAAGGTGTGTGCTGGCAACAAAGTAGCACAATAACCTTATTTCCCTTGTTACATGTACAATACGTAAAACTAATTCGTAATAAAGTCAATCTTGGAAAAGTCAAAACGAACACTCTAAAAGATATAGTAGGAGTTTATGATATAGATCCCGGTTTAGCTAAGCTTATGAAACAATGGAAGTGCTTAATTTTCAAATGAAAAGAGAAAGTGCTTGTCTCGAAGAGTCATGGTGTTTGACCAAACTTTTGAGTGAGAAAAATGTTAGCATTTTAAACTAGTAGCAAAAATTGCTTTTTTGCCGTAGGACTCTTTATTGCTCCAACTGTTTTAAATTATTTGTCGTGTTTTTCTTTTACACGTTCTTAAAAAAATATTAATTAGAAAAGAGATTAGATTATTTTACCCTTATTTATGTCTTAAGATAAAATCTCTCCTCATTGAATATTTATTTTATTTATGTGTTATATCTATCTTCAAGAACAATTATTACCAAGGGTAAAAAAGAAAAATCAATTTTATCTTGAACTTCTAAAATGACAAATAATTTGAGACAACTATTTTTAGCAACTACGACTGATAATATGAGACGGATAGAATAGTATAAGTAGAAACAATTTTTACTATTTTTAGAATAAATATATTATTATAAAATATATATTTTACCAACCTATATACAAGGGCATATCTTGTGCAGGAGCATGAGGCACAATCAACCCATGCTTCACTCACTATACTATGTATAATAATGTTAGTATACCTTAAAGTTTATTTATATTTATGTGGGTGCACCCAAGCTCAAAAAGTCTTACAGAGCAATGATTATTTGGTGTACCATTACAAGTGAAGTAAGGAGCTCTAATCTCATGCTTATCTTATTTTTTTTCTTTCTAGAACAGAGCTTAGGATTTTAAATCTCACGTTTATAGGCACGACTAGTGTTCCTTTTGTGTTTTAGTTAAGTATTTTTTTCATTTTTATTTGGTTTAATTATTCAAAATCTCCAAATCTAACACATTGAAATTCCTATTCTTTTTCTAGTCATCTTAAAATTTATTTAATCAATAGTAAAACTAATGCAGAGAAGGATGTAGCATGTTGGTTCAATGATCCCAACAATTTTAGTATAAAGTATAGTATATATGGTAAAATTCACTAAAATTACAACGAAAAATTTAATTTTAATCTATAATTTCAAAATGGTAATGGGCTCATAGTAGTAAGCTAAAATCTGAACTTGTCGAATATAAATCCTTAATTTTCTCTTCGTAATAGTGCATACATCTCTTAAAATTTTGGATCCGCCTCTGCCGATAAAATTGCACGGGCGCCCTATTCGGTAACCCCATTTAACATGTACCCACTTTTTAAATTTTTGTTAATTTGTACCAACTGTTTAAATAACTTTAGGGTTTACTTGTACCCACTTTTTCTCCTCTTTCTTCTTCTTCTTCGGATAATAGTGATTTTATATGGTGTTTGTGAATATATTTTAAGGTAGTTTATGATGTTTTACAGTGGTGAGCTGTTGTGGCGCTTTATTTTTTACTATTGCTTAGGGTTTCTTCTTTTTCTTTTTGTTAATTGCAAAATGAGTTTGCTAGATTTATTGTTGTTTTGACAAATTGATGATTGGGGTTTGTTCTTGATGATATTTGGAGATTATGTTTCAAATTTGAGCTCATTTGGAGTAGATATAAGTATTAAATCGTATATTGGATTGTTAAAATTCGAATAGCAAATTCCTGTTTATGGGCAATTTGCACTTGAGGCCTATTTGGCCTTAAGTGCATGAAAACGTTGATTGCACTTCAGACCTGTTGGCCTTTAGTGCATCTGAAGTGCAATTTTTCACTTCAGACTTATAGCCTGTTTGGCCAAGTTTCTAAAATCAGCTTATTTTGAGAAGTGTTTTTCTCAAAAGTAATTTTCAAAAAAATACTTTTGGTGATAAGCAATTTGTATTTGGCTAATTAATTTGAAAAATACTTTTGAGCAGTAATTAGTGTTTGGCCAAATTTTTAAAACTATTTCTAAGTGTATTTTTATCAAAAGTACTTCTCAGAAAAGTACTTTTAGAGAGAAGCTACTTTTTTCTGCTTCTTAAAAACTACTTCTGCTTCTCCTCATAAACATTTTTTCTTCTTCTAAAAACTTGGCCAAACATCTCAATTTTTGGAACAGGCTATTATTGGCTTTAAGTGAATGAAACCATTGGTTGCACTTCAGACCTATCTAGCTTTAAGTGCATCTGAAGTGCAATTTGTTCACTTCAAACTAATTTTTTTTAACTTCAGACCCGATAAGTCTGAAGTTGATCGTAAAACGGGTAGACTTGCAAATATTTTTACAAAGTGGGTATATATTCAATTGTGACCCTAAAACCGGGTGTAGATGCAAATCCCCGCCTCTGCCTATATATATATATATCCTCGCCCATAGCTAGTATAGAAGATATTAACCCTCATGCATTGTCGATATCACGTCTATATGTAGACTCAAAACTCTCTCTCTCTCACTTCTGTAATCTAAATTTTTATATATTAGTTAAATGAAACTAAGTTTTTTTTTTGGCTCTCGTTCATTTATCTATTTATATAACACTAATCTTAAATCAAGTGGATCTCTAAATATCATTCTTTTTTACAATTTGGCACTCAAAATTATTTTTTCAACTAGTGATTAAAAACAAATTGGTTTTCGAATACTAAAATATGTTTTTTAAAATTATGTGGGCAAAAATAAACGGCTACTCTTTCAAAGTAGGGGGATCGAGTTTGATACCAAATGTATCAAACACTATATTACTGATTTTGGTATATATAACTTTACCGGCAATTTATGCATTATTTATGTGGGGTTGAAGATGGGATAATAAATATGTATATTAAGAATACATGGATGCGATTATCTAAAGATAAATTCCCTTACATCAAGCAATCCCTACATAAAAATTCATGTATTATTAAGTATTAACTACTGCATAATAATCTCTATTGTATATTATTTATCGCATATTGATCTCTGCAATCCAATTCAAATACAATCCAGTTTAATTTATACACAGACTTCCGTTCAAATTCAATTACTTTATAATGATATCGGCAAAGGGCCAAATATACCCCTCTACTTTCGAAAATGGTCTAAGAATACCTCTCGTTATACTATTGGGTTATCTATACTCCTGCAGTCATATTTTGGGTTCAAATATACCCCTCATTTAAACGGAGGGACACGTGTCATAGTCATGTTGGTCAATTCTAAATATCTCCTAATTAATTAAAAAGACACATTACCCATACCCGAAAAATATATTTTTTTTTTGTAAAAACTGAAAAAAACTGAAATTATTTTTACTAAAAACTGAAAAAAACGAAAATAATTTTGTTTCAGTTTTTACAAAAAAATTGCTTTAGAAAAAACTGAAAAATATTTTCTAAAACAATATTTTTGTAAAAACTGAAAAAAAAGAAGCTGAAAATTAATTTTCTAAAGCAATTTTTTTCTGTAAAAATTGAAAAAAAACTGAAATTATTTTTACTAAAAACTGAAAAAAATAAAAATATTTTTTTTTCCAGTTTTTACAAAAAAACTGCTTTAAAAAAAGCTGAAAAATATTTTATAAAATAATATTTTTGTAAAAAATAAAAAGCAATTTTCTAAAGCAATATTTTTTGTAAAAACTGAAAATACAAATATTTTCTTCTTTTTTTTCAGCTTTTAGTTAAAAATATTTCAGTTTTTTCTAGTTTTTAATTGCTTTAGAAAATTAATTTTCAGTTTTTTTTCTAATTTTTACAAAAATATAGTTTTAGAAAATATTTTTCAGTATTTTTAAAGCATTATTTTTTGTAAAAACTGAAAAAAAAAATTTCGTTTTTTCAGTTTTTTGTAAAAAACAATTTAGTTTTTTTTCCAGTTTTTACAAAAAAAAAAAAATTATTTTTCGGATATGGGTAATGGATCTTTTTTATTAATTAGGAGATATTTAGAATTGACCAACATGACGATGACATGTATCCCTCCGTTTAAATGATGGGTATATTTGAACACAAAGTATGACTGCAGGGGTATAGATAACCCAATAGTATAACGAAGGGTATTTTTAGACCATTTTCGAAAGTAAAGGGGTATATTTGGCCCTTTGCCGTAATGATATCGACTCCTAGCCAAAACTAGGATAAAAACTTATCTGTATTGAATATTTATGATTTGATGTAAATATCTGTATAGGATATTTATGATTTGGTGTAAATATTCAATGTAGATAAGTTTTGGCCAAATATAGACAACGACCTAAAATTGTCCCACTTTTTTACTTAAGCACCTCGTTATTTTCTATTGAATACCTAATGTTAGTGGGAAGTGTTTATTGAACACAAATGAGTGACATGGAACAGTGAATGTATTCCACTCCTTTTCAGCGCGTGGAAGGCCTCTGAAATGGATTAGTCGTTTCTTCTTTTTTTTCTTTTTCTCTGTTTCAGTTCTTACTCTNGGGGGTGCTTTTTCTGCTTTTCGACCCAAAAGAAGGTGACTGTTCTTTGACCAAATCCATTTCTTCCAAGAAACAAATTTTGATCCTTCTTCAATGAAATCCATTTTCAAAAGACTCATTTACAGTCCCATAAAAGAAAACCAAATAAATTTACACCCACTAATTTATATAAAGAAAGAAACTAAAATTTCAAGAACAGATTATCCACTTCTTCTATCAGTATTTTGAAGATGGGTTTCGATTAGAGCCTTAAAAATAATGAATTTTTGTGATGTCAAACACAAAATTTTGGAGTGTTTTGTTTTCTACCATTAAAGGATTGAACATCTTCCTTTCAGAAATCAACCAGCCTAGCCGGATATTAATTCTTTTTCGGAAATCCACCATCAATTAAGTGGGTTTCTTTGAACTCTTGTTCAGATTTTAATTAGAATGCTTCTGTTCTATATTTCTTTCAAGCAAAAGCATTCTCCTGTACTGTCACGACACTCTGTATTTTTTTATATTAGATTCTCTATTTTTTCGACTTACTAGGTTCTACTTTCTGTTCTATCATTTGTATATAAAGAAAGAAACTAAAATTTCAAGAACAGATTATCCATTAGATTCTCTATTATACACAGGCATAAAAGCCACGTGTCCCCGTTTTCTTCGTCATTTGGCACACCATCAGCAAGTGAATTACACACACTTTATTCTTTTGACTGATTGTCAGGGTTCAATAGTCACACTACCTAATAACATTAGGTGTTTAATAAGAAACAACCTAGTTGATTACATCACTAAATATTCTGGTACTTTTTGATCTTCTACATCAGCTTTATCAGGAAACATATAACAATCCATATTACAACTTTAACAAAGGATAAGGCTGGCAATTTGTTTGAGATGATGGCACTGGAACATGGAGTATAATTATTTATGGTTTCATCCCAGTATTTGATACAATCAAATGTAACTTTCAATGGTTTATCAGAACCAACAAACAAGACCCTTTCGTTACCTTCAACAAGTATTCCAATATCTCCACAAAATGTTCTACTACATGTCTCACAAACTCCTGGACAATACACAAGTTTGTAAGCATCCTCGTACTTATCAATCCTAAACCAATTGCTCAAAGTTTCACGCCCTGGATTTCCTTCAACTCCACCAACTGTCACCAAATAACGTTGGGGAATTAATTCAGTGTTAATTCTCCATACGTTAGACGAATTAGATAATGTTATCTCTGACGTAAACTTGATGTTCAGATCACTTGATATTTTGATGGTATTTTCGTTCGAGTTTGCTGGTGAAAATTGAGTGCTAACGCTGAGGATAGATTCATCGGCATGTTGGCTTACGACTAGCGGGTTGGTTCGGTTTCTAATAGATGCCACCGTAATTCCACCGCCGTTGTCCCGACCCGCCGGAATGATGCGATAATACCCTCCTTTTCGGACATCTTTACCGGAAACGTCGAGCACATCTTGAGCTTTTACTAGGAAAAAGAAGCTTGTTGACAATGCAACAAGTATTAAAGGTACTATGAATAATCGCCTAGCGTTAACTTCTATTTTCATTGTGTTTGTAAGGATTAGTTTGTATAGAATGAATTATTTGTCAACGGATAGAATAGGCTTATTTATAGTACTACGATAAGGTTTGAATATTTTACTAGGAGATAGAATAAGATTATTAATAATGATATATCATTTCATTGTTGTACTAGGAGTAGCTTGCAAGCAAGATGGAATTGACTATCAAATATATCTAGCCATTATTGGGCTTGGTAAATTAAACCCGTATTAAAAAATTATAGAACTTATTTGACCCTTTTTCTATGTAATATAATCTATGTACGCCTTCTGTTTTACTTACTAAATTGTGGGAAAGCTAACTATAGTCTATGCTGGTACAATCTTTGCATGTCTTGTACATTTATATATGAATTGTGTTAGCAATTTCAAAGGTTGAACTATATATTCACAATACTTAAAAGAAATTCACAAATGGACCGAGTAAGAGGGAAGGACCATTGAATATTTTTTTTTTTACGTATATATTAAATCGTGAACATTTTTAACAAAACTTTTAACTTTAATGGTAAAAAAAGTATATATGCTTCCTGCACATAAAGACTTGGGATTATACGATCTCTCTGACAAATCAAACGGAACATATATAGTGACCTAACACGCAACTTTGATTAGCTTAATAGAACGATCTTCTATTAATACTAGATGTTATATTCGCGCTTCCCATTGCCCGATATTGTTTTTCTTTTCCTGATTAAGTTTGTTAAACAAGTGACTATAACCTAATTCACCCAACTTGGCATAGTAATCTTTGCAAATTGCATGATTGTGCCATATAGTATACCTAAGTGTTCTTTATATGCGGGGTTACGTCAAGTGAATTTATGGTGATACCAAAAGATAAAACAAAAATATATTGTTAGTAAACACTTTCTCATTGTATTATCAAATCACATATATGTACTTTTAATTTCAAGGAAGGATTTGAAAGTTTCTAAAAAGAAATGGTTAAACCATCAATTGATGGATTATTCCATTTAAACTCAAATTTTGGCAGAGCTATGAGTATAAAGTGCTGTTAGAAATTTGACTTAGTGTCTGTTTGGTTTTGCTGATTCTAAATATCTGATAAAAGTTGAGTACTAATAAGCATTTTGATAAGTGTTGAAATTAATTTTATAAATACGTAACTATGTGTAAACGTGTTAAAATTAATAATAAGAAATTGATGTATTAGATAAAAAGTCAAAACTAATGTTAGATGACAACAAACTTTCTAATTTTCTATATATACTTAAATATAAGAATGGAGCAAATTATCATTTAAGATGGTGTGTAATCTCATAAACTCTAAATTTGATCTTTAGCCAAAACTATTTTGTAACGACCCCACTTATCGTTTTGAGAATCTACGTTCCGTTCTGTGACTTAAGGTCCCGAGCAACTTTGCAATATGTATTATGACCTGCGTGTATGGTCTCGTTTGGTTTTCGGATGATACAAGATTAAATTGAAAGAACAATTCTCATTTTCGAAGCTTAAATGAAAAGAGTTGATCGGAGTTTGATTTTTGAGTAAACGACCATAGAATAGAGTTTTGATGATTCCAACAGTCCCGTATGGTGATTTTGGACTTAGGAGCGTTTTTGAAATTTTATTTGGAAGTCCGTAGTTAAATTAGACTTGAAATGATTAAAATAGGAATTTAAATTTGGAAGGTTGAGAGGGGAGTTACATATTTTGGTTCTCGTTGCATTTGGCAGTATGCCTAATTGATATTTTACTATCTTATTTTCTTTTCAATTAGTTAGTTGGGTTCATTTTGACTCTTAAAAGTTTGTTCATTTTGACTCTTAAAAGTTTTCTTTAGATAATTAAAAAAAAAGCTCATGAATTTTGTCACTTTCTCTAAGGAATTACTCCTCACGTACACTCTTCTAGAATAGGATTTCCATATTCAATTTTCTTGGGCATCATGGAAACCTCACCTCGACATCTCACGTGACTCACAAAAATCACTGATAATACACAATCAAGTAGCATTGGGGTCCCACGGTTTGGAGAAACAGAGAGGGAAAAGGAAAAAACATTGCTCATCTTCTCCATAAGGCAAAATTTCCTCCATCTACACAAAACTCCACCAAAATTTCAGTTCTTTACACATACTTTTAACATGGAAACTACTTAATTCCATCACCTCTATTCAACTAATGTTTGGACCACAAATTAACAAAAGCTCCTCCCGTGAACTTTCCTTGACTGCAACACCACCCTTTCTCTATTTTTAAAGCTCCCCCACCACCGTCCTTTATCATTTTCTTTGTCAAAATTATCAGTGAGTTAGAAATCAGAAATGGGTTGAATATTAAGGGTAAATTTCGGGCTAGATCTCTAGATTTGAACTCCAACCGAAGTTGCCGTTAGAGTGGGTATTGTTCGAGTGTTAGGGTCTGCGGTATCGGTCCAGATTTGAAACGCAATCGAGGTGCTATCGTCAGATTTGGTTTCTAGTTCATCTCTGAGTAATGTTGTTGCTGTATAAAGAGGAGCTTAATCAAAATCTGGAGAAAACTTTGCTACACAAAAGATTCGGGACGTTTGGATACCAATTCACGCGGTTTTGAGATAAATATCTTGCCTAACTTTGAGTGGGAAATTACCCCTTAGTCATCGAGTCTTATGTGTCATTTGTGAAATGTGAAAAGCCGTGTACGCGAGGTGACGAGTACGTACTCGGGCTTATTTGTGCAAATTTTATTGGGTTAAAGTCTTAGGCATTATTGTGTAGTAAATTGGATAATTGTTGGCATTTATTAAATCATCTATTTGTCATGCCTCAATCATTGTTTGTTGAATTTGTTTTTATATGATAATTTGATGTGATTGTTACTTGAATATTTATGTAAATTCCGTGAGTTTGTTGATTTGATATTTTCTGAAAATAATTATATTATAGATTTTTTCATCTGCAAATAATTAATGAACTAAGTTTAAACTGAGACGTTAATATAATTATCAAGAATTTGAATTAATGATGGCTTTTTCCTATACTGAGTATTTTTTATCTCTGTTGATTGTTTTTAAGATTTTATATACGTTGTGTGGAGCCTTGGGCTATTTTTGAAAAATTTATTGATTTTACTATTGATTCGGTTAGTGATATTTAACCTTGTTCATGATTGAACCCTAGAATCAATGATTGCAAACATTGATTCATGCCTATTTGACTTAGCCCCTGCTTAAGAAAGAGAGACTAAGTCTAGGAAAACTTGGCTAACAAGAAATTGGGGTGAACTCAAGAAATTGATAGCCCCAATTAAAGGGTTAAAACCTAGAGATAGTAATATCCGACTTGAGCTAATATCACTTGTATTGTGCAAATACCCAATTGGGCTTGAGAAAGCCAAATTAAAAAAAATCACTCAAACTACCGAGAGGTATAGAGTGAGTATCCGGATGTGATTGCTACATCCCTCAACTAATCAAATTTGCCCTGGAGTTTACAACCCATTAGATAACCACCTAGGTAGAAGTCACAACCCTAATCCCTTTTAATCATTTGAAAAACTCAAAACCAAAAATATTGTCCTTAGTTTTATACTTGCAAACAATAAAGTAAAGTAGAAGTAAAATACCAATCAAGTTTGTGGTAGTGTAATTAGAGTAAAAACTTGCAATTAACTTATATATACACCTAATCCCATATTCTAACTCCATGTGGATTCGATCCCGACATTCGTTGGGTTTATTATTGCATCGACCGCCTCACTACTTAATTGTGGTGTGGGTTTGGCCGAGATCAATTTTTGGCGCCGTTGCCGGGGAGTTAAACGGATTTAGCTATATATCTAGGTATTTGTGTGTTTTGTCTTTCTTTCCTTCCAAGTCACTAATTTTATTTGTGAATTGCTTTTAGGTACAAAATGGCCCTTAACAACGAGCCCCTCGAAAATTTACCATTGGGGGAGGAGGTAGATGATGATTAAGTAGATGAGGTTCATCCCGAGCCTCAAGTAAACAGGCGAGGCCGATCGCCTAATGATAATGTACCAAACTCTCCCCTACCTCCACCAAGAGCAGCGCACCGGGTGTTGCCGAATGAAGGCTATGCAAGTGCAATAGTCCCACCCGGGATTAGGGCGGAAAACTTCCAAATAACTAACGTGATGCTTACACTGCTTGAGCAGTGAGGTTTCTTCACCGAAGCTCCACACCAAAATGCCTACAAGCATCTCAAGGGTTTCGTCGATACTTGTTAGGGAAAGAAAGCAAACAAATGTCTTCGAGGATGCACTGCGGTTAAGACTATTTCCCTTTTCTCTACGAGGAAAGGCTTTGGATTGGTTAGAGAGATTGTCCAATCATTCCATCCACACTTGGGATGAGTTGGCCGAGAAGTTCATTGCCAAATTCTTCTCTCTGGGGCACATGGCTATACTAAGGGATGAAATTCTAGCTTTCAAACAAGAGCCCAATGAGCCATTGCACGAGATTTGGGAAAGATATCGTACCATGGTCAAAGAATGCCCGAACAATGATATGACAGAGGCCATAATCCAACAGACCTTCTACAGGGGGATCAACACAACGAATCAGTGTGTGGTAAATCAACTCGCAGGGGTTAACTTCATGAACACGCCTTATGGTTATGTTATGTGAGTGGTGTAGTATATTATGTGATTATATCGGGGGTTATGGTTATGACTTGAAATAACTTGTTCAGACTTATACAATGTGTAGATATGAGATTCAGGTCTTGTAAGAAATTTTGGGTGTTAGAAATTGGGTTCTAAGTTTTTCCGACTAAGGTTAAGGTAATGATCTTCAATTATGTTATGTTCTCAGACCTATATGGAATAGGGTGGCGTGAAATCACCCCCAGGTATGTGCGTGGTAAGGTGGAATAGTGATTTGAAGGCTTAAGAATAACTCTTGGCACGTTTGAGGATGAACGTATGTTTATGTGGGGGAGAATGTAACGACCCGACTTATCGTTTTGAGTACTTACGATCTTTTCAACTATTTGAACTATTGAATAGCTTCATATGATGTATTATGACGTGTGTGAATCGTCGGTTTTGGTTTTCAGATGTTACTGAATTAGTTTAGAAGAATGAATTTCATGTTTGAAGCTTTAAGTTGGAAGAGTTGGCCAAGTATGACTTTTTAGTATTAGACCTCGGATCAGAGTTTTGATGATTCCGTTAGGTCCAGATGATG